GACACTTCTTACCTTGATTAGCTCAGCTCAGTCGGATTTATATAAGCATGCAGCGCCCTCTCTCTCCACAGGTGATGGAGTGGAAGATGAACGCGAGAGTTTCACGAATGTTTCACCCGCAACAAAAAATCAACAGCCAACTTTGACTGCAGAAGGCGTTTTCCTTACCCAAAAGTAATTAATCAAAGTGCTCTAAACGAACAAACGGCATGAAACTTAAAGTCGAAGGCCTGATGCTGCTCCATGTTGAGTCCCGAAATACAAAAAAAGTAAGAGAATTTTTGTCTTAATTGAAAGAGAAAAAATAAGACAGGAAACTTTTTGAGAGATATATTGATGAACTGGTGAACCTACCTCGAAAAATCAATGACGAGCATTACCTGTTTTTCAAATCCGTAACGGACACTGTTGAAAAATTCCGACCTATCTCGTCACTCGTATATAAACGAAAACGTTGAAAATGTAACTGAAATGGAATTACTGAACCAAACGTCGCTAATTCTAAATACTTCAGGCTTCAGCAATATAGTTTATAGTAAAAACCGGACGCTATACTCCTTCTCAGCAGCATCATCATCGTGGACCACTCTAAAACCTTCGTGCAAGCCGACGACAAGATTCGTGCAAGATGAAGACGACTCACAATGTGTCCTCTCTCATAATGTAACTCAAAAAAGTTAGAATGTTTATCTTCGGTTGATGTTATCCAAAATGAATGTATTTCTTAATTTTATTTCTTGTTCAAAATTTAAAAAAGTGATGGTTCTTTTCTTGATTTTATTAATTTGTCCACTTACCTCAGAGTTGAAGCCAATTTTTCTGCATGTGTAATAGGTAACTCGACTCTGTTACAAGAATAAATTCTCATTTCCTCCTCTACAAGGTTTAAAACGTATGGGAACCTTTCGCAAGACAGTCTACAATACCTTCTGAACTATTCTCGTTCATCAATGACATGGTTATGGATTTGAAAAATCTCTCGTTTTTCCGATTGTCACTCATTTCTTTTCTGAATATCGAAAATTTGGCCATTCTCTTCATCATTTTTCATTCGTTTGAGAATAATCATTGCAATCTTTTTTTCTTCTTTGGAAAATATGGTCCTCCTCTTCATCACTTTTCACCTGTTTGAGAATAATCATTACAGTCTTGTTTTTTTCTTCTTTGGATTTGTTCCATATTGACACACCGAGTTACTGTCTGGTGTCCGTCAGTACACTAGAGGTGACGCGAAAAATGCTTCTAGCGAAGCTAGAAATCTGAAAATAAAACCAGTGAATTGAAGGGGTTATATTTTTTTAGGAGTGATTAATTTTTGGGATAGAAAGTTTTTGGCTTTCTACTACTCCATCTTGATACAAAAAAAGATGGATGAGGGAGTCTTCCAAAGAAAGGAAGGAAGTAACTCTATACATGGATGTGTAGATCATGCAAAGAAGTAACTCTCAGACACAAACTGAAAGAAAGTCCTCCTGAAACAGCTATTTTCATATAAACATTGGATTATACGAAAGAAAAAATTCTTCCGAGACAAATACTTTTATATGAACACTGAATTATACAGATGATACTTTTCTCTACTCAGTTTGTAACAAATTGCACTTACATAGAACACTGCCATCCTCACTGGTATACACCGATGTTTCGCTTTGAGACACTTGCCCTAAGGCTCTTCAGTACCAAACTGGATAAAATTATAGAAAATACACACACTTCATTCATGAATTACGATTTTTCAATGTCACGGAATAAGTTTGATCTGCTTATGTCATCGATAACATCGTAATGACATTCATTCACCTATTTGATTTAATTCCAGCCAAGAGGAATCCTATTTGAATTGTATAAAGGAATCTTGTTTCGTGTGTTACAGGAGGGAAAGAAGGAATAAAAAGGATCCACAGAAAGTGCCGCTAAAAAATATAGGGCAATTTACTAGGCACGTTTGCAACTTTTGGATGCAAGTGAAAAGTGGGAACGGAACTTGGGAGCGGGAAACGGGAGCGGGGAACGGCAGAGTTTCACGAACGTTTCACCACCACCAAAAAATCAACAGCCATAAACCTAAATGTTGAGGGCCAAAATCAAAAATAACGAAAAGAAATTCGTATCTTAATCAGTTAAAAATAAATACAGGAAACTGTTTGAGGGATGCATGGATGAACTAGTGAAGCCATATCAAGAAATCGATGACGAGCATGACTTGTTTTTCAAATTCGTGACAGCCACTGTTGAAAAATTCTCACCAGACCTCGTTACACGAACGAAAGCGAAAATTTTTAAAAAAGTAACTGAAATGGAACTACTAAACCAAACGCCGCCAATTCCAAATACTTCAGGATTCAGTAAAATAGTTCATAGTGAAAACTTGACGGTATACTTTTTCTCAGCATCATCCTCGTAGACCACTCCAGACAATTCTGACTGAAAAGTTTCTAACGCCCGTGATATAATATATGAAGCCTTGGTGCAAGCATTTCAAGATAAAAACGTCTTATAATGGGCCACGTTTCAACTCAAAAAGTTAGGATTTCAGTCTGTTTGATGTTATATAATATGAATGTATTGTATGTATAATGTGTGAACGTATCGATTCAAGCGCAACACATCTTGACTCTGCATGTTTCTCAATTGCGATAAGTGGCATAAGATAGAAGGTCGCCTGTTGATCTTTGTTTCCGGGAGCCATTTTCATGATCGCTCAAGATATTGAATCCTTCCAAATATCTAAGGATATGGAGGTTTTCGGCTCTCTCTATGATTTTTGATATCACTGATAACAAAGCGACTGAACGAGAAGGAAAAACCCCTCCTTGTAAGACAGGTCGATAATTCTGCAAAATAGTGGCGCAAGTTCATTTGCGCACTTTTCAAGTACGATGACGGGCACTTCATCAGGACCAAACACCGTATTGATATTGGGCTGTTTCAAAACTCACCGGCATTGTGTGGGAATAGTGGATGGTGCCTTTTCCATAAAATCGACTGTGGAGTGGGACGCAAGTTATCCAGCTAGTAGATTTTCTTTTTCTGCGGCTGTTATTGCAATTGAACTATCCGTTTGTATCAGTGGTGGGATTGTGGATTTTGTTAAGTTTTGATTGACAGCTTCAGCTACCGACCAGAAGGATCTAGACCCGTTGGGATTGGCAAGCAGTGTATACCTAATTTTCTGATAGTGAATTTCTTTGATTTCATTTATTCTGAGTTTGCATCAACAAAGCCAGTTCGGTTTTCGGCACTGGAATTTTTGCACGACCTCCGGTAGGCGAGATTTTTGGAGACGACAGCTTGCTCGCAGTTTTTGTTGAACCAAGGTTTGCCATTAGGAGTTCGTTTCGTTGAAAAAGGAATATATGCCAGGGAAAACCGGTCTGCAAATGTGTTCCAATAATTGAAAATCGATTGTGGCAGTTGTATCGCCAACGGCATATGCAGGAATAACTTCAGTGAAGAATCCTGCACTGACTCCTGTCGAATATATTCCAACGCCCTTCGTGGTATTAGTCAGGGGAGTAGTTGTTTTCTGATAGGTGTCGGTCCATTAACGTACAGTGTGGGTGGTAGACTGGCCTGAATGAATTGTTCTGTTAGATAATTTGGTTTAGAAATTCGTTGAATATTTGCGTATATTATTTCAAATTATTGGGTTTTAATAGATATAGAGGCATGATATCGATACTATTTTGTACTTTTTGAAAACTGGTTACTACATTAGGATTGACTTAAGTGAATCAATTCACCACGAAAACTGTATAGAATATTAGGTCGAAAGCCACGTAATACTTATAGGGTCTTCTAACAGGGACTTGTGGAATCTAAATCCATCAGATCAGTTGTCATTTATTCAGTCGATTTTGCTAAATCACCATGGACGGATATAGCATTCAACAACACGTGCAAATAATTAATTTTTTTTATCAAAATGAGTGTTCTGTTCGGGTAATGTATTATGTAGATGG